ATAATTAAAATTTTATTTGAAACAAAAAATATTTCATTCAATGATTTGTTGCTGTTTTAGCACATTATTAAAAAAAACTTATTATTAACACAATTATTACACGACATATGTAACCTCAAAACAGTATTGTCTGCTAAAAGGTTTTTAGTTTAATATCTAATACATTGTCTATTTTGTAAAACTACTGTAAGTTTTACTATAAAAAGATCATGGTACATTTTTTAATTAAAAAAAATTATAACCATATTATTTTAAAGCCATTTTATTGGAAAACTAAAAATACATAAATGAGAGATAATAAATTTTATTAGAAAATATCAATGTGCAGATCATAAATTATTGCTGAAAAAAATAAATTTTTAAATTTTGTAGTAGAAATTAGTAACGCTGTAAGTAATAGTCTTTTTTTAATAAAATGTATTTTATTAAATGAAATACTGTTTACTATAAATTTTAGGAATAAAAAAAACAAATATAAAATATCAGATAAACTGAAAATATTAATTTTTGCACTGATTTATTAATAATTTACGAGTAAATTTAAATTAATATTTTGTTACACATTTTCATAATTATATGATAATCTAAAATATATTTAAAAAGATTAATTATATTGATAACAGTTTATTAATGGCAAATTAGTTTTACCAGTTCTACGTTGTATATTATTATATATTTTTTTATTAATATTTATAAGTTTGTTCAAATATTATATAATTATTTTTCTTTACAGTAAATTATTTATTGTATTATTGTATGGATTATTTATTACACATATCTTTTTAGTGTCTAATGTTTATTACAATAAAAAAAATTAGTGTAATAAACATTAAAATAAAGGTTAGGCTAAAACAGTTTAATTGATTTTTTATTTATTTATTTAATTATTAATATTTTCTATAAATAAATTACTATTATATTATACATAGTATCATATAAATACTGTACTATTTTTAACTAATCTAAATCTAAAATTATTTTTACTAAACTATAATTTCTATAAATAAGTTAAACTCGTTTCCATATTTTAATGGCTGTATTTTTGGGCCTTATTTCGCCGTCATTCATACCGAAGCTGGTACTCCAACATCCCGGTGCTATTTGGGCACCGGTGCACAAATACGAGCTCCATTTTCCCGGTTCAATGTCATCAATCTTGTAATGGTTGTCAATGTTTCCGACTCTAGCTCTGGTAATTCTCGGTGCAAACTCACTCTGTATGGCCCCAAATGGCTCCGATTGATTGCCTACAGCCCTAAAAAACAGTCCCCCATATTGTGCTGTAATGTCTTCCCAGTGTACAGTTGGCCACATGTCATGCGGTGCCAATTGATCGGGATATTGGGTGTACACAAAATTTTCCGGAACAGTATTGTTGGTTACTATAGTTTTAAGTTGACCTAGCTAAGTTTGAAACTTGATTAACAGTTCCCTATTTTGTTTGCTCTCATCAATCAATTGCTGAATCAACACTGTATTTACGGGACAACTGTTTTGGTTGTCATTATCACCATTGCTTGAATCAATTTGTCTCATTTGTGACTTCAAAATTTTATTTTAAAATAAAAATAATTTTCATAATAAAAAACAACAAACTTATCTAGATAACTTACCATTTCACAAATAACAAATCTAAGTTTATCACACGGCACATCATTCCAGTAGCCGAGAGGCCGACTATAGTGGCCACTGTGCATCTCACCGCAGTCGCCATCACCACTCGGGTTATTGACAAACCAATGCAAATAAGTCATCCGCGACCCATCCATCCAAGTAAATGAGCGCTTATTTATCTTATTCATACCGAGCCATGCATTGTCTTTAATTGAAAACTCAGTAAATAGTTTTTCAACAAATTGTTGTTTTTCTTCGTCTTTGATGATCACATATCGGGCATTGGGATCAATTTGACGACAATAGTGTTGACCGTACGCTTAATTAGTCATTTGAAATGTGGGTTTAACACAACTGTCCTCTTTGTATTTTTTCCACCCTATTCCGCAATCAAGCTTATTGTCTATGTATAAGTTAGTTAATTATAAAATTTATAAAAAATAATATATCAAAAAGACTACCTTGGCCATTTACAATACATATTGTATTTATATTAATGATAAGCAAATAAATTGCAAACTTTATGGTAATTTTATTAACTCTCATCATTGCTAAGTTTTAAATGAATCTAAATTAATAATTGTTACTGAATTTAATGATTGAATAAAATTCATATTTAATGTATTTATTTAGTAAGTATTACAAAATTACAAAATTTTGTAATTAATAAAACAGTCTATAAACAATATTGTAATACAATATTTTTGTATAAAAAACTAACAATAATTAATATAATAATGTTAATATTTTTGAATAATGTGTTTTATTTAATAATGATTATATGAATATAAAATTAATATACTTTATAATATAGTATAAAGTTTATATATATATATATTAATAACAATATATAGTGTATTAAAAATGATATTGCAAAATATTTTTTAATAATTAGAATTTATTTTTTATTATTAGCAAATGCTTAGTTTTTTAAGGTCAACATTATTGATTAAAGTTATTTTGAAGTTCATCTAGATAATTATTAATATATAAATATATTATGATTAATAATAATAATTTTGTTTATCAATATAAAATAAACAATTTTAAAATAAAAATAAAATTTTTCTGTTCTTTAAATTAATATTAATAGATATATTCATTATTATTAAATTACATTATATACAATATTATATCATATTTAATAAGTTTTCATACAGTATATAAGTCTATACAAGTGTATTAATATGACATGTTTTTTTGTAAAAAAATAATAAACAATTTTATAAGTGTTCATAAATTTAATTAATAATTAAAATAAAACTAAATGATAGCACGTCTACAATATTAACTTTATAGAAAACTATAATTATCTTTTTTAAAATATCTCTTATTTTATTTTTTTATAATTTTGTTGTATAACTTATAATTACATTTAAGCGCTTTAACATGATTTTCAAACATCAAAATCTTTAATATAAAGATAGTTTAATATAAATATTTCTATAATTAAAAAACAAAAATATATTAATAAATAAATTTAAAAAATAAAAAAATAATTTATAATAATAATAATACTGTAACATTAGTTTAATTAATATAATAAGCAATATATCATGAAAATTGACATTATTATTATTTTTTAAATATTATTTACAACTATTAATTTTTTATAAAATTTTAGACTAACAAATGATATTAAATAAATATATATATATATTGAAAAATCATTCAAACATAACAAATGGTTTGTTAACACACAAAACAGTTTTGATAATAATTTTAAAAAATATATTATTCATAAATATTATAATTTTATAACTTAATATATACCAAAAATACAGTATATTCAGCTTTTTTGATGAGTGAGCTTAAGTACAGTTCAATCATTTGCTAACAAAATATTCAATTTTTATTATTATATATTTTTAAACTTTTTTTTGAGTAAACCTATTGTTAAAATATTACACAATACTTGGTCTAAAATCACATTGTATATGTATTTATATATTATGCATAATAATGTATGGCAGTGGAAAGTTAATTGGTTGTGCACAGTGAGCACCGGTACTAGAAATGTAAATTTTTATGCATAACTGAAAAAACCGTTTTCACTTTTTTGACGTACAAATACTCGATAGGAATAAGTGTTTGTAAAAACTAGACCTCCCTTTCCCATCAAAATACATTAATAATACATTAGAAAGAGAGAGAGAGAGAGAGAGAGAGAGAGAGAGAGAGAGAGAGAGATATTAGAGTCCAGTTTGATGTGTATCTCATATGCATACTTTATGCCTGTTTTCTCACTAATATAAACTTTTTAGTTTGACATTCATATGTATTAAATATGGGTTATCTTAAACCAAATGTTTTGGTCATTAATATCAATTACTGTATATACAGTAGTTTACTATCATTGAACAGTAATGTTTGTCATTATAATAGTTATAATAGTAATAATAGTATTATGTTAATTGAAACCCTAATTTTTGGTAAAAATAAATTTCATATCCAAAACTTTTAATGCATTTCATTGTTTATTTTATTATACAAAGTAATTCACTACTTATCATAAACATTGATCTCATCTCTCTCTCTCTCTCTCTCTTTATAGTTAAGGATGTAATATTGTAGATTTACCATACAATTTGATGTCCTTTTTCTCAGTATAGTTATTGTTATGGCCAATGCAAACATTGTTTTGTGTTTCCCCTAAAAATGTCTATTTTGGAAATGCCATATCACAGACATCATCAAAATGTATGGTTAGTATGGAAAGCACCCGAACATATCAAACAACAGCTGTATATCTGAATTGATATTACTATTACATTAAGGGAGGGTCRGAAAGAGAGAGAGAGAGAGAGAGAGAGAGAGAGAGAGAGAGAGAGAGCAATCGGAAAGTGTATTAAGAGGAGAGGAGTGTATGGTTTGGCGCTCCAGACACTCAAAAAGTGAACAGAGTTTGAGTCGAAATCAAGTTTTGCAATACATTTATGTAAGTATTTATGTATAAGTTTGCTTTAAATCATGCAATGGATTGGACTCTATTCTATTATGTTGAGGGGTTAGGGCTATGAGTGCCAGTGGATCAGACATTAAACCTAATAGTCATATAAATACAGGAATAAGATATAGTTGTTGTGTTCAGTAGAGTGAAGAACACACACCAGTGCTGTGAATGAACAGTGCAGTCGTTCATTACATACAAACATATCTCAATCAGTTGTTTTTTTCAGTGCAAAATTTCGACTGTTATCTCACCAAATGATATCCTAAAGGGTCGGTTGTGTTTCCAGTGTGCGATAGTGTCAATGGATCTCAAACTTGATATATGAAGTATTGAATTCATTGCAAAATTATTTTTATTTTGTTTTGAGTCCGTGTTTTCCAAGAAATGTCTCATTGCTTGGCCTTCACAAGCCGTGAATCACAATAATCTTATAAGTTATAACACCAGTGCTCTCTCTCTCTCTCTCTCTCTCTCTCACACACACACACACACACACACACACACATACCGTACATACATACAGTCACTCCAAAAACTTCAGTTCACATTGAACTCCAAGTGTATACCATTTGGTTGTATGTGTGGTGTCGGTGCAAATGAGAGAAGCACTCACACCATTCCAGTCATTCAATAGTAGCAGTGAATGTGCCGGTGCTCTGTGAATATGTATGTATAGTATGTTAGGGGACAGATAGTAGAGGCAGACAGTCAACTAATTTGTGTGCCATTCCTAAAAGTGATGGCTATTTTGTGTCACTAATGTATATTGCCATTGCCATCGCCCACAACTGTATTTGCACAGCACTGGTAGATCTATCAGAACATACCATTCCTTTTTTCCATACAAACATAGCGCCAAACACACCATACGTTTTACATATGAGAAGTGTGTGTTTGTTGTGAAGATCTGAATATCAAATATACAGTAAAAATAGTTTTTGTGTATTATTTTAACATCAAATACAATACAAGTCATTGATTGCGGAGACACTGTCGTCGACTCACATCAAAAGGGTATGAATTTGTATAAAAGCTTTCAATATATTTAAATTGATTTTTTGATTTTTCCTCACTTTTTTACTTTGAATTTACATTTGATTTATATTCATATTTATATCGAAATTATTTGTCAAAAATATAACAATAAAAATTGATTTTTCATAAAAAATATTTTTGTTGGCAAAAAATTTTTAGAAAATAAACATAAAATGTATAACAATTGAATGCATTAAACTTTTTTTCTTACCAAATAAAAACATTTTTTTAAACAAATGCTCTAATTTATAGATATAAAAATCAAATGTTATTTTTTTCTTGAATTTATATAATAAAAATAGGTTTTTATTAGAAAATGTTATTTATAGTATTACTACATAACCTCAACAAAAAAAATACTGAAATATTTTTTTGTTAATATTATTAAACACTGGAAGTACACACAAACCCAACGGATATTATATATCACTTATGTCTGAGAATTTCATGTGTTTTGCAAATTTCAAGTAAAAGTTAGGGGAAAATAATAATAAAAACTGTTTATTAGAGTAAATAGTTTTTAGTTAAAACATATGATATTTTTTAATGATAAACTATAAAAAATACTTATAATTTGTAGTAACAAAATAATTTCACATTTGTTTTGTTTTTATAAAAACTAGTCTATATTTAGTACTGTATCATTATATGCTAATTTTATAATACAATAAATTATCAAAAACTAAAACTTAAAAAGTTTTGTTTAACTTTTTTCTGTTTTTATTGAATTTTTGTTTTGTTTAATATTGTTTATTCATGCCTTCTCTTTGATATTAAAAAGTAAATTGTGTTTAAAAGTCATAACTTATAACTTAGAGTAAACTAGATTTCTCCGAGTGATACCCATTGATGAATAATTCATAACACACAACATATATACAGTACATACATATACAGGGGTAACCATTTGATAGTATCCAATAGTAAGATAAAAAAAAGTATTAATAAAATAATAATATAGCAATTGTATAATATGTTGAAATATAAAATTTTCAACAAAATAATAAACAATTTCTTTCTTTTTAATAATAATTTTCAACTAAATAAGCTTAACTTTTTTTTACTACCTGTCCATTACAACAAATTATAATTTTATTATTTTGTCAAAATTTTTATGGATACTCCAGAGGTAAATAATTTAGCATACATATATCTATTATAGTAGTAAATTTAAATTTTATTTTACAATTTTATGTTACTGAATATACCAAAAAACAAATAATTTATAATAAAAATTGCAAAACAAAAAATATTATGTAAAAATATAATTTTGTTTGCATTTTAAATACATATAATAATAGTATTGTGAATACTTTTGTTTTTATAATTTATTTATATTTTTTAAATTTTGTTATTATTATTACTGATAATACTATAAATATTATTATTTTATATATGAATCAATGTTTTGCATAATTAATATTTTTTTTGTATTTCAAACAATTATATTTAATAATACTTTTAAACTGATTGCTTTAAAATATTTCTTAGAAAAAAACAAAATATATTAAATTACAAATAATTTTTCCAAATGTTATCATAGCTCAAAACATAACTGTAATTAGTATTTCTATTAATAATAAATATACAAAAATTGTTTGTTTTCTGATTATCTTAGTTTCAATGCTATACAACATATGAGTTTATTTTTCACAAACATAACTGCTTGGGCTCTGTCAGGATTAGGGTGTTAAGTATGCCTTTCCTCTAAAGGGATGGGTTTGATAAATATACAACACTCTGAAAATTGATAGCTTGATTGTAAGGTTTATGGTTTTCAAAAAATATATAAATTCAAAAATACATTTATTATAATTTTGACAATTATTACATGAACTTAGTTTTTGATAAACATAAATACTGTAAATAAATTAAATATAACTTTAAAAAAAACTTAAATTTATTTTAAGAAATTTATCGAAACAAAAAATATCTGTTAAATCTAAATTTGTTGGATATTATTTTTTTTATATGTAACAAATAAAAATGATGTATTTATTTTTACAATTTTCGACTCGATATAAACCAATGCATTTTAATAAACAACATAAATAAGATAAAATTATTGTATATCATGTTTATACAAAATTGAATATAATGTATTTTTTCATATTAGATGATTGATTGTAAAAAGTCATTAAATTTTGAAGATTTTGTGTAAGTGTTATTAGTACAGCAAAAATATGCTATACTATTACTGTATATATCAAATACAGTATATTAATACTAAACAATAACAAAAAGAAATGCCGAATAAGTAATAAATTTTGACATAAATTAATGCATTATTTATTAATCGCATTAAACATGATTTTTTTTAGTGTAAAAAAGAAAAAGTTTTCTAAACATTAATTTTTATTTTTATTATTATTATTATAATTTTTTATGTCTAACTATTATGAATGAGTTTTGAAAAAGTTTTAAATTACTAAACTATATTATTCATAGACTCGTAGATTATGTTTTGATACAATAACTAAAATATGTGCAATTTTTCCCTCAAGTACTTCATTCATATTTTGTATACAATATACAGTATATATATATATATATATTTAAAAAATATGATATAATCGTCATTTTCAATCAGATCTGATATAATCAACACAACAATACTGTACATTATAATGAAGCGGCAAATATTAGACACACGAAATACAACTCACAAATCATAGGACCCAATAGTTTACTTTACTATCGTATAACTAATTGTTTGTCTTATGTTATATAACTCACGAATTCCACCCATAAGTTAAAAAAATAATAATAATACACAATTATTTGTATAAATAATAATAATATAAAATATTATTATTCATTATGTTTCGTATTACACACACAATAACTAATATATCACTCAGAATCTCGAGTTGTTATATACTCTGAGAGTATCACAATATCATCGATTGAGATCATCAATCATTTATCATATATATTAATCATAGGGAAACTCTTGATGACAATAATTGTTTCGATGACTGAATACATTTTTCAACAACAAAATAAAAAAAATATAAAAATGTTTTTGACTTGTTTTGTAAATTGTTATAATCTAAACGTTTTAAAAATGATAGACAAAAATAACTATTGTTGACATTTCAGGTTATGCTAAAAGGATTTTCATTTTGATGTCGACATTATTTCCTTATATTGTTTTCAAAAAATAAAAATAAAATTAAAAAAAAACAATTAAAAATATTTTTTGCATGACATTTATTATATACAGTATATACTCATAGAATATCTAACTTTTAATATGTTTTATATTTTATGATATTTTTATATTTTTAGAAATGTGCTGTTATGTGATAGTAACAGCCCGTACCCTCATATGGACCCTACTGTCTATAGTGGCCACATTGTGTATGTTGGCAGCTATTTGGACACCCATATGGCTGGTGGGACCACCAAAAAGACTCAATAGACAGATGACTGCCAAACTATCGCAAACTTTACAACATAATAAAAATCATAATAATAGCTATAATAATAATAATAATAATAATATTTTGGATCTTAGCTTTCTTAATATTAACAATAATAATGATAACATCAATGAATTTATGCCATCATTAGGTCAGTGTATCTAATAATTATTTTTTCATATCTCATAAAATTTTTTGTTTAAAGTAAAAATTATTAGTATTTATTTTTTATGTACTGTATTAATAAAAAATCAATGAATATCTCCAAAAAAAAAGATTTGATAATCTTTTTGAAGTAAATAAATTTGCATAACAAACATGAATCAAACAAACAAATATTAATGTCTATCTTTTAATCATATAATCATCAATATAATGGATGATTTATGTTTGTACTGATTTACAAACTGCCAGATTTGTAATCAAATAACCCTTTAATATACATTACAAACAAATGGCATGTATTTTTCAATTCATATAATTTGTAGTTATATTGAGATCTCATTGTGCCATCGGAGTGGTTGGTTGTGACCATCAATTGTATTGTTATTGTTATTATACAAATCAGTGCCGACTGAATGACCCAAAAATGTTTAGCCAAAAGAGTTGTTTGATTTATTAACTCAATTATATTGTTCGTTCAATTTGTTCAGCAAATTATATTATTTATAGGCATTGTATGTATAGATTGTATAGCTTTTTGCCAAATATATTGTTGTTATTTATTCCCTAATGTATATTCAATAATATAATTATGTATTTACTTTCTATATATAATTTGTACAGTATATACAATATTAATGCACACATTGTATATATGTATTAGCTGTATTAAAGACTTAGTTTAGTCTACTGTGAAATATCTAACTGTCCTCTCATAATGAATAATTATAGGTATATTCAATCGATGCACACGTATATATCAATTAAATCGGTTGCAAACTGAGTGCGCGCCGTTTGTCACGGGCTTAGACCAGGAAAACAACTCTTTTCCCAACGCATGGAAGGCATCAATAATATTCTATGGCATCGGTATCTCAATTATGACTCTCACAATTGTTACCAGTCTTTTAGGTATAGTATGCTATTTTCGTGACCTTTTGTTCATAAACTAAACAATATTATTATTTTTATTACTACTATTGTTATTGTTGCGAGAGTTTAGCAAAAAAAATCTCTATTATGCCATTAACTTTAAATCTGATTTAAAATGGATTACTTGTGTGAAAATATGTGACATCAAAAGCAATCAAATTATAATCGATTGTCATATATTTTCTCACAAATATATATTTATACAATATATCATAGAGTACTGTATTAATAAATTATATTTATTATACTTATATATATATATTGTATATAAAATTTATATACTGTATTATTATTTTTTATATATATAAACTTATTCAACATTAAGCCCATTGTTTGTCTCATTTTATTTTTGACACACAATAGGTTGTTGTAAGAGAAGTATATGTCGTAAGAGTATATTTACGATATCGGGAACAATACAAGCAGTTGCAGGTAATTATCATTTTATTTTAAATAACAAAATTAATATATTTATTATAATCATATCTTAATATTGTAAAACTTAAATGTTTTATCGATAATTAATGGTTGATATGATTTTTTACAATAAATATTATATATTTTGTTTTTTACATTTTTGAATAGCTATTGATAGCTATTGATAATATAAATGGTTTTAATTATAGATCAAATAAGTTAATTATATCATATTTTTATTTGTAGGCTTATTTTACATATTGGCAATATTTTCATATCCTTTTGGTAAGCATATACTGTACATAATTACATAAATAAATAAATTTATATTAATTATTCAATTAGTATAGTGTAAGTTATTTACTTATATGTACAGGGAAAAAATTATTTTTATTTACAATACATTAAACTGTCTATAATTTAAATATTGTATAAATTTATCAATAAATAATTTTATAGTTTATCAGTAATATTTATACACATCTGATATTTAATTTATAAATATCTGAAAATTATATTTATATGACTGACCCTCAAATAAATTAACAGATAGTACACTAAATTAAACTGTCAGTGCATACGGTATGTCTAAATCATTAAAATTGATTGCCATCACAGTGTAAAACACCGCACAGTTTTATAAAATATATTTATGGATGTATTAAAAAGTTCACATAATTATTAAATTTTTGTCCGCAAGTGCTATGAAAAGCGGTTTTTTGTTATTATGTACTCAACTAACCATTCATTTAATGTCTATTTGTGTAAAGGCTGGGGCACTGACCGCGTGGAACGTGTTTGTGGCGTTAGGGCCGACCCTTTCCTATTGGGCGACTGCTCTATAGGTATGTGCCGTTTAATTAATTTTAATTTGATTTTTGTTGTTGTAATTTATAAAATATTAACATACTGTGCGTCCCAAATGTATACTAATATTACTAATTAATAACTAATGAGTTAATTTTTGTTATTGTTGGTTAACATGAAAATTGCACGGTTAGGTTGGGCATTGTATCTGGCAGTGGGCAGTACTGTCGCCACATTCATCTGTGCCATACTGTCCATTCAGGCAGAGATATCGACTTCATCTGACAAAGTCCAGGACGAGATACTTGACGGCAAAAATCTTATTTGTTTATTATAGAAAAAACCAAAAATTTATTAATTCAATAATTATTTAAACATTTTTATACATTAATTTTATGGATTTCAATAGTCTTTTTAATAGTTTATTATTAATTATATACCGGTATATATAATAATAATAATAATTTATATTTTATTTTATATATGAAAGCATATGGATGTATGTGTTGTACTGTATTTGTATTAGATAATTGTGTTACACAATATAAAACTTCAAATTTATTTAATTATTTATAAGATATTCATAATAATACATAAAGTAAATATTAAATAATTATATACAAAGAATATTTTGAAATAAAAATATTTACATTTATTAATCCACATATAATACAGATGTATACCAATCATAATTAAATTTGTAATATACAATATTGATAATATAATATATCATATATATTATAAATTCTTCAATATTAAGAAAATCTAAAAACAAACAATAAATAAAATCTTATAAAATAAAAATTATAATTAAATATTTAATCTTCAATTCTAATATTACTTTGAAAATTTAAATCGGAATTTAATTGCATTTAAGTATAATAACTATGAAATATGAATCAAGAATTTTTAGTAATCAATATATTTAATAATTTCCTAAAAATGTTTTTTACTGTATTATAATTTTTATTATATTGCAAATATCTATTTTTTATTAACTTGTATGGTGTATTTATATTTACATAATTTTATATTTATTTATAAAAATGCAAATACTTTTGAAATTAAAAATAAATTGAATATATTATAAAGAATAAATATAGAATTTAAATTTTAAAATTGTATTAAAAATCAATCAATAATAGCAGTATATTAATAACATTGTGTTTACAAATAAAATATGCATATTATTCAAATATTATGCATCGCTTTTAGATATTTTTTAAAAACTTTATTAATATATTATTATGATTTAAAAAATAATATTCTAAATTTAGTAACTATTATTAAAATGAAACACGTTTATATAATATTTAGAGTTAAAGTTTACAAATAAATTTAATTAAACGAAAGCAGTTTGAAATTAAATTTATTATATATATTTTTATACATTCATATTTATTTTTAATATAAATAAAAAGGTGTCAACACATAAATTATAATAAATTAGCAAAATTATCAAATTAAATATACAATTTAACAATTTAATCGCAATATAATCTAGGAACAAAAGATAATATTATATAGATAACATTATAATTTATTATTATTTTAATTTATATATATATATATATATAATAGATATATAATAAATATTGTATATACATTGGAGTGTTAACAATAGGCACTTCAAAGAAACCAGACATATATTGTATATTTATTACTACGTTTAATATATATATATATAATATCATAATCTATTGGTAGCTCCTGTATATCTCAAGGAACTCCAGCAAACAAAAAACATGACAACATAACAGGTATTGGATATATTTTATGATGAATCATAAATACTTATCAATTGTAAGTTTACACTCAAACATCACTCATTTTACTTTATATAACATATAAATACATAACAATTCAATTATCAAACATCTGAAACAATATTCATCCATCAGATGTGTTGTTCATAAGTATTATATTTTTATTATAAGATTCAATTGTTTCGACATTCAACACATGTCTTACAGTATATGTTTGAATAATTTTTATACAGAAAATTATTATCTTTTGGCCACTAATATTAACAACATTGTGTTCAATAATAATAATAATAATACTGATAATAATATTAATACTGATAATAATAATAATAATAATAATAAATAGAAAATATTTTTATAAAAACTTTCCTATTATAAAATCTATTAATAACAATAAAGTACTATATATAAATATATTTATATAACAATACTGGTTTATAATAATTTAACATAAAATGTGTGTGTGTTTGTTAAAACAAAATATAATTTTATCATTTTTTAAAGGATAAATATAAATTGAATTTCATTGTAAGGCTTAAGGACTAAAAGAAATAAAACAATGGACAGTATTTGTTTAACAAAATAAAAATATTTTTTTTTTGATAGATTAGTTGAAAAAATTGTTTTCAAAAATAAAATTTTCAAAATATTTCAATATACAGTATAGACAGTTAGTAAAAAAACTAAGTTTAGTGTTAAAATTGGTAAGATTTTTAAAACTTTATAGAATAATTCAATCAAACAATTACTAAAAAATATATTCTCAAAAAATGTAATTATTGTGAATTTAATTTTAATAAAGTTCATAATATAAATTTAATGTTATAATTATTTAAAAAACTAATATTATTATTACTGAAGTTTTAACAAATATTTTATAATATATTAATTTTTATAACTAATTATTAAGTTAAAGTAATAATATTTATGATTTATAATTCAAATTAAAAATATAAAATAATTAGGATAAAAAATCATTTAGTTGTTTTACTAATTATATATATAAGTTTGACACCAATTTTTATTAGGATCAATGTATTAGATGATAAAATATGTTTTCATTTCATATCGATTTTTTCAAAATATATCAATCATAGAGTAATGAATAAGTTATTTATATGTTGACTTATTATACATACTATACGCATAATTTTAAACAATTATCAATTAAAAATAATACAGATTTATAATAATTATTAAGTAAATTTTATAAAAATTAATTATATATTATTTGCTTGTTGTTAATATGCAACCAAAATAAAAAATTTAATTTACTTATTCATTTAATCTTTTTACAAACATTTTGACTTATTTATGTACAATAATTATTATTAATAAATGTAATTCTCTAAAAATAACATTTATATCTAAGATAATATTATTCAATAATAATATAATTTTATATAATTAAAACTTATACTGTAAACACAAAATATGAATAAACTCTACCTTTTAAAAAAATGGCTAATAATATAATAATAATATAAAAACTATTTTATCATTCAATTTTTATGTTGTATATAAAAATAAAATAACATTAAATAAATTAAAGCAAAACGTCAAAACAAATACACGATTAATGAATTCAATGCTTAGATACATATAATTAATTATATTTATGACATTCATTATATGTAAACAATAGACTTAATTGTATTGCATTTATGTTTAAAAATAAGCTTATAGTTCATAATTAATGTCTACAATAAAGTTCTTATATATAATAATAATAATAATATCATAATTATAACAATTTCACTGTTTTTATTTTACTAAGACTTTTTTTAATTTTGTTTATCTTTTATAATTGAAGATTAATAAAAATTAAATATTTATTTGTTTGTAATATTTTGAGCGTTAAATACTTAAATTTTTTAAATTATTGATAGCATAGAGAAAAAAATAATATATTATGAAAAATAAAATTATTAATTAACTATAATTTCGCAAATATATATATATATTTATTGGTCACAAAATATAACAAATAATATAATTATATATAATATTATATATATTTGCATAAAAGTATTTGGCATTGATATGAAACTAAATCTTAACAATAACTAATAACAATTTAAATATATTTTTAAATATGCTTAACAATTATATCATCAAAAAATTATAATATATTATTATAAATATATTTTTAAAATGATAATTTTCATAAAAATTTGTTGTTGTTTGAGTTGATCTAGCTAATTAAATCCATAAATATATATTGGCAGTATTGTAACAATGAGATTACTTAAATCCAAATTTATTTTTGAAGCATAAACCCCATTATGACCCTTATTGTAGTCAAAAGTTTGGCTAACATTAAAACCAAAATACAGACACCTTTTATCGTAATAAATATTGATAGGTATATAATAGAGACCCGGGTTATCCTTGTCGGGCAACAATTTGGTCGGCGGTAAACATTGAAAATACTTGCCATTTTCATAGTACCCGAAATAGCCGTCCATACCTAACGAACCAACCGGTCGACTCTTATCGGTTCTCGGGTCGTCATCAAAGTACATACACTTATAATAATAGTCAATATATTGTGGTATTCTATAAATATCAGAATTGCTGGGATCCGGCTCGAGATGACTGGGTTTATCGCACTCATAGAAATGGTTGTGTTCTATGAAACCGAAAGTACCTCCCATTCCTTTAGGTCCCACTCGGCGTCCATTGTTATAATGATAATAATTGTATTGATCGACATTGATTTCGTTGCTATATATGCTAATCGTTTGAGGTTTCGGTATCGGTGTCGATGTCTGTGTCTGTTTCAGCCCATTCTTCATATCAACAACGCTGTCGTCGGTCACACCTATTTGGCTCTCAACTGGCGATGATTTGGACACTGAATTCAGGTCTATGTTATTGTATTGATTAAAGTGTTGTTCCCTTGATGTCAGATCTTTATTCAATTTTAAAAAAATGTTTTGTATAAACAATACATTAAAATAATTTAATCATTAATATAAATATAATTTAATTAAAATTATAATCATGTAGGTTAAGAGATTATTAACATTATTAAAAATAACAATAATTACTAAATAAGATATACTATAAAAATAATCATCAATTATTTATTATAATACCGAAAAAATTATATATTAGTCTATATGGAGGGCGTAACACACAATACATTTCTATAAGAATTAAATACAGTATAATATATAATAGATATAACAATACAATGTAATATTAATACATAAATATTTAATTTGATGGGTCTTATTATGTCTCTATATATTTATTTATATTCACGAAACTCGAAAAACATTTACAAAATTAACTGTCCATAAAATAATTGACTATTTTACTATTATTACTATTTTATAAAGCAATTTAAATAATTATTGCCATATATCTCAATAATATTAATAATAAATTGAATAATAATAATAACAAATGATAGTAATGATATCAACATGTATCACGTATCACACATTTATCATGTTTTACAATAAAATTTTAAATAAACAGTTTAAATGCTATAATAATAATCAAATCAATAATAATATTAAAAATTGTAGTTAATAACTTTTGTTTAATTATTATTACTATTATTTGGAGAATATATCTAAAATTACAAGAATATTCTGTATAATTTATTTATTATTTTTTTATATAAAGATCTTAAACTAATAGCAAACCTGATATCGATTGAAAATTACTATTCATTTGTTGCTTAACAAAGAGTTTGTCTTCAATTGGTTCGTATCTATGTTTTTGTCCGGAATCGTAGCTCAGATAATAAGGCGGTAGTGATGGCTGGTGGGCGCCCTCTCGGTTAGCAAATATTTGCGGCACAAATGTGTCGTTAAGTTCGGGTCGATATCGTTGATAGTTATGAAAAACCGGTTGATGTTTCTTCACTCGGCTCCTGTGTTTTGTCCTACTGTTCCCATCGTCATAGTCTTCAATATACCATAGATTACTTCGGTGTTTGACATACACCTGTTTGTTATGATCTAAAACCGCGCGATTATTATGATTACTATTATGATGAACACCAAACACCATACAACACATATAATTAAGGATCAATTGTGGTAATAGTGTCGATAACTTCATTATATATATATTATAGATAATTATGAAATAATATTTTATAATTCACAATAATAATAATATAGTAAATATTGTGGTTTATTATATATATTGAATGATATACTAAATGGCAATAAAATTAAAACATTTATAATTATGTTATGAATTTATGTTTGTATTATAACTGCAATCAGTTAAAGCAAATCAAAATGAATTTATATATGCATTCATTGAATTTAATGAGATTAATGAACATTAATAACAATATTAATGTCTATTATAATTATATATTTCTAGCTCTCATTCTCTATGGACACAAAAATGCTTATAAGAAAATATTTTTGAAAAATAAAATCAATCCGACGGTCCGTTTGGATGGTTGTCATGGATTTGTGACGTTTTAATCTTTGCTATTGATTTTATATTTGTGTGTCCTCTTCCTCCTCTTTACACAGCACTGGTAGGCACTGATAGGCATACAATACACAACAACTACTTGCGGAGCACATGTCTGTACGGTATGAGAGCTGCCAAGTGATGCTGTGATGGCTATTGATTGGTGTGTTATTATTATATGTGATATGTATTGCAAGGTTTGAGATCTAATTGTAATAATAATAATAATAATAATAATACAATTCATATACTTCTATAATATATTATATATACACAAAATCTAGGGATTCATATTATATTTGCCATACAATACACTAAAATACAATGCAATAAAATTCACAAAAGAGTTTATATATCATATGATATGTCAATAGTTAATAGTTATAAAATACATACAAATATATTAGTGTTAATTAAGTTTAATTGATTTTTTTAAAAATTACAAATTAATTATTTTATAAAATAAAAATTCTTTTTTCATTAATTAAATTATTAATAATTTATTAATTAAGTTGAAAAATAAAGTAATTAACTAAATTTAATTATATTTGAAATTTAATTAATTATCTAACTTATTAATTAAACTAAAATAATTATATTTAATTTATTATATACATATTAGTAATTAAATTATATCATATTTATATTTTTATCATCACTTTATTAAAATAAAAATCATTTTTATAATAATTTTGAGTAAATAAAACATTTATTACTAAATAAAATCAATTAGTATATAAATTAATATTATTTTTGACAATTTCATGTAATTTAAAACTTATTTAAAGATATAAATTAAATTATTTTATGAAAACGTGTAATTTGTTAGGAAATTAACTAATAAAAAAACATTTACTACATTAAAATAAATAATCATAATTTACTTTTTTCAATAATATGCATTCAATTTCTATATTAAAATTATTAGTTTAAAACATATTTTTAATGAACTTAATATTTTTTATAAACGTATTCTATTTAATGAATTAAAATATTTGTAAGATATTTGTTTGTTTATCACTAAACTATTTATTATTGATTATTGATTATTGAATGCCAATTTTAAATAAACAATAGATATTTTAAATATCGTATAGTTAAAATGTAAAAATAACATAAACAATTATTAAACATTGTAATATTAGAAATATTATTAATACATATTTAATTAATTAATATTTAAAATCATTATTACATTCTTTATTTTTACAATAATTATATTATTAAATACATTAAAATTATTAGTTTAATAAATATTTTTATATCATATATAACAAATATAAATAGTTTATATTAATTTAATCAAAATTGCAACATTATGACATATAATAAATATTAATATAAATATAATATAAATATAATATAAATATAAAATAATATAAATRTATATATATATATATATATATATAAATATAAAATAATATAAATGTATATATATATATATATATATTATACCGTATATACTGTATATATGGTATTGCAAATAAAACAAATTTTAATATTCAAAATTTTGTCTGACAATAGAGATATAGCTGTTTGAGATTGATATCAAAAAATAAAATTTAATGATTATAGACAAGGGATTATATCTGTTCAATATTTTCTCAAATCTTAATATGAAATAACTTTCAAAAATTATACCACATTTTCTTATATTTAAATTTAAATATAATTATCATTGATATCACTTTTATCGACTCAAAATACTCACTGAAATCTCATTTTGTTAATAATCTTTATATACATAAATTTGCCAGTTTTTGCAAAATATCTTAACATTTACCATAACTTTCAATATTTGCTTTTTATTTGTTACAACAATAATTATTCTATATATATATATATATATATATATATATTATTATATAAAATAATTGTGTTAAATTTTTTGTTTCACGCATCACTATTTGATACAACTGTTTTATATAATTATTTTAATATTAATCAGAAAATATTTCTATAATAACTTAATAACTAATTTCTATAACAAATATTTCTAATGACTTACTATTGCATTAAAATTTTTAATAAAAAAGTTATGTTAATTATTAATTATATAAATGAATTTTAATAAATATAAATTTTATTTAAGTGATTAGTGAAGTATTATACATAAAATATCATATCTTAGTTTATTATAAAATTTAAATAACTTTTTTACAAATAGTTTCTCTCAATAATTAAAATCTCTGATTAATTTGTCAATTAATTAACAATATAAAAATATATAGTACAATAAAAAGTAACAATGGTAAGTTTTCTAAAATAAATAAGTTTTTAAAATGATAACAATTAATACGGTGCCACCTAGTTGCAATTTTATAATACATAATTTTTAAAGTTTTAAATTAAAACAATTATTTTATTTATTTAACGTTATGTTGATATGAGATCATATATTTAAAAAATATTTTAATATTCACTTACAATTGACATGAGTTATCACCCGAAGCTCAGGTATTTAAGCGGATTTAAGATATATGTTTCGACACTAATATACAAGTGTCTCACATTCAGCGCTTATATATTTTTATTTATATTTAGTATTTATGATTATAATTAGCATTGAATTATCTCAAGAGTTTAATTAGTATTATTAAATATTTATATAAGGATTTTGTTATAATTATATGTAATTTAAAGTTTTCAATTCAATAATAAACACAAAAACACTTTCAACTGTTATTTACTTTATTTAAATTATATTACAATTATATTTAATAATGTAGAATATATTTAAGTTTATAGTTATTTATATACTGTTTTACTTAATTGTAATTTATAAAATAATATAGTAATATATTAATAATATACAGTATAYATRTTGAAAAAAACAAATTAGTTTTTATTTATTTATAAATTACTCGTTAAGTGATGTCCTTAAGTTAATTGAGACTAACATAAGTGGTGAATAAACTTCATATACGATATAATAGTAGTGCCGGACGTCATACCTAAAAGTTTTGGAAGTATAAGTGCTGTTAGATTTGGGAATGACTTGTTTTTTTGCGGTAAATACCATCGCGCGTATCGATAGTAGTCATAATAGTCGACTATTGTTTATAATCGGATAACCAAATCGTCTATTAATTATTTGTAATAAAACATTGTTTTGTTAGTGTAATGTTTAAATAAATATATATAAATACCTGTATTATAATTCTATTAATATGATAATCCACTTTATAATATATTTTTTATTCAAGTATTAGCATATYTTTGAAAAATGTTAACATATTTGCAYATATTTTACTTTTAATTGTACGGCCATTATATGAATGATGTCATCAAATTAACATTAAATTCACGGATAACCAGCCCTTTAGTTATTTCATATATAGTATAACTAAGTGTTAAATGTTTGATATACTACTGTATATATAAAATCAATATCCAGTCGTTTCTACGGGTGATATGATGTAAGTCCAGGGATGCACTCATAATGAGATTCAATGTAAACGAACTATTTTTTGAATAATAATACTAATTATTAGATTAGTATTTTAATTAACTGATATTTATAAAGATAATTTAAATTATATTGATAATAATTTACAAAATGGCCAATTTCAATTTATTTTTTAAACTTTAATACAGTATATAAATAATAAAATATTAACACTAGTAGAATTAATAATTTTATCAATAATTAGCTTAAATAATAAAAATAATAATTAAATCACAATTAAATATAAAAATTAGTTAATTACCAATATTACTAAAAATAATTATTAAACATATATTTAAATCTTTAAAAATATTTAATCATATATGTATATGTTTATATTACTAATTTTATTTTGAAAATATTTAGCTTAATTTAAAAATTAAATAGTTATAATACTTATAATATTAAAAAATAAAAATTGAATGATTACTTTATTGTATTATTAAATCTAGATATACAATACAATAGATATATATAATACTTTTATGCATTTTTAGTTTACAATTTTATAAATCATAATTTTGTTTTTATATTTTTAATAAACAGTATTTCTTTTAAGTTTTTTTTATTGATTTTTATGTCACATTGACTGCAGTTTATTGTTTGTCACAATACGTGATACAAAATATGTCTTTTAATATATTTATCAAATACTGTACTATAATTTCTGGGATAAAAACGTGTCGAATTAATAATAATAATATTGTTGTTGTGACAGTTCATAGTAGACTATAAAATAATATACCGTATATTATCATATAAACATAATAAAATTTGTAATGCGATATTTATATTTTAGTTAAGCACAAATAATTATTTTTAAAAAGTTAAAATTGATTTTTTAGACAAATTTAAGATTTAGAGTAAATTAGATTTCAGTAATCATTTCACTTTAAGTTCAAAAATTTTTAGTATTTTACATAATAATAATTTTATTAAATTTTCTAAGAACTATATTTATAGTACAACTGAGATTCTGTAAAATATTTTTTTGTGAGTGTATTTTAATTCAATAAAATTATTATTTATATTAAAAATTTGAATAATTTTAGTTTTTATTTTGAATTTAAGTATCTTTCTTAGAAGTTATCATATAATTATGCTTAAATAATATACAGTACAAAATTAACACTATTTTTATATTAAAGTCTGCACTTATTTATATAAATTGTTTCTTAATTAAACAAATTATTTTAATTAAAAATATTTATCTTATTTTAAACTTATTATTAATATAAACAGATAATCGATAATTTCAATTTTATAATTTCAATAAAATTATTAATTAGTCAAAGCAATAAAATATGAATTTGCAAATAAATAGTGTATTTGTTTAACAAAATACAATTTTTATTGACAAACTATATTTTGAAAATTATTTTATTCGTATAAAATTTAAATGAATAACTTGTTTATAATTTTTATTAATATTAAAAAGATATTATTTTCAATAATAAAATAATAATAAAATAATAATAAATAATATAATGAAATATTTTTATTATAAGACAATGACATTGTTGTAATTTGTATACAATAATAATAATAAAATATTATATTAATTATTATAATATAATATAATAGTTGATTAACCTTTTCTTGTAAACTAAATTCTAGGAATTGTGTTTAAAGTTTGTTTTGCAAATTGTYTGTCAATTTATACATTTATACTAAATATTCAATATTTATTGTGTGTCTCAATGGTGTCTTTATTTAATTATTATAATAATAAATTGATATATTTACACCTAAGTAAGTGTTAAATTGTTTTTTATTAACTAAACCCAAACAATTTACTTACCCATAACTATTAAATATACAACTATTGTTAATCCCATTATTTTTTTCTAATAAAATAAATTGAATTCATTGGTAAAGTGAATGTAAATATTTGTTGTCATTCCAGGAATTGAAAGACGAATGTTCTAAACAAATACAAAAAATGTTAGACAATCTGTATATCAATTTATATTATATAATATATATGTTTGCAATTTGTGTCCGTTATTCAAATATTTTCGACTTTTTTAGACTAAATATTATCTAAATTTTTTTTGATATATCGATTAGATTATGTAAATCTAAAGCTTTTATAAATATAATTATTTTTTATAAAAATTTAAATTGTTATATAAAAACAATCCTGATCAAAGTTTTTATATTTGTAAAATTTGCAATTATTTTTTTACAATAAATGTTTATATAAGACATCATTAACAAAAAACATTAATTTTTATAAATAACTAAAAAATTATAAATTAAATTTTTTAGGTTAATATATGTTTAATATATTTGAAAATAACATATTTGAAAATTAGAATAAATGATGATTAGATCTAATAATAATAAATCAATTTAATCTAAAAACAAACATATCATTTAAAAATATATTCTATAAATAAAAATAATAATTTTTCTAAAGGACTATTATCAGGCTATTTTTAGTAACAGTAATAACATTTATTATATTTATAGATACGTTTTGAGTTTATTAATATATTTCAGAATAAAAAGTTAAAGTATACAATATATACTGTATATATTATATAGTATTTATATAACTAATTCAAAAAGGTATAAATAATGCTAACTTAATAATGATGATTAACAAATAGTTTTCCTATTTATATAATTATGTTTAATTAGTTATATTATTTTTAAAAAATATTTTTAGATTTTACACATTGTTTATTTAAGTAGTCAAGTTGTAAAATTAATTAATATATTTGTTAATTGTGACATTTATTAATATTGATAATTATGTTTAGTAATAATTTAGTCAATTTTACAAATATTTTGATTAAACTATAAAAATATTTTTAAATATATAATGTAGACTAATTAGTATTTATTTATTTTTATAGATTATTTCTCTTAATTTAAATTATTCTGCTTTATTAAAATGTTTGTCTCGTTAAGTGTTATTTTTTCAACAAAATAATAAATAAAATATTCAATAATAGACTGAATAGACTAATAGATTGTTCACATTATTATTTATTGACATTAATTGCAAGCATTAAATCATTGAAATTTGGTCTTTATTTGTATTGTTTGAGTGGTTGTATTGAGTGTTATTATTGAACCAAATTAAACTGTTTTAACAGAATCCCAATTCTCTGATGGTTTAGTTGTCTTAAAATTTGTCTGTTAATAATGGTTGTCATAAAATTTGTTGAAAATAATGTTTTTAATTTGAAAAGTTCAACAAAACACTGTCCTCCGCGCACACACCATCTATTAACCAGTGCCTACTTGTCATTGTACTGTAAAATCATATCATATAATGATGACGAGTGAACAATGGTTACCATAGGATCGGATAGTTATTATATATATCGTATATATATTTATGGATAATATAAATGCATATATATATATATATATATATGCGATGGCGGGTGCGATGCTTGGACGAGAGATGCTGATTATAGTAAAGGAAAGGCATTCATCACTTGTTTATATGACTCTGTGTTGGAGACATTATGTGATGCAATTGGAGTTTTTAATTTGAATGCACAGACATATAAATGATATGAAGCCAGTGATGTGCAGACCGGGGAGTTGTGCTGTTTGTCTCATATCAGTGCCCGTATCGATCCAATTGCCTTTACTGACTGTCCCTCATAGGCAGCACTGGTATATAGTTTTTAAATGTTAAACCAAAATAATAAGAGTTGTTGTTGTGCTTCGCCTAATAAAAATCAACCAGTGCTCAGATATTTAGTAAATTGTATGTGCTAGATGCGCTCAGTTACTTATGTCTTTTGAAAACTACTGGTGCCGTACTAAAGAAATGGCTTCCATTGTATTGAATAAACATAAACGCAAACCTAACAAGGGCAAATTTAAATTTAATATTAAAAATTGTTTGTCATTTGACAACAAAAGTGATTATGGTATATTTATTAATTAATAATTATTGTCTAATTTTAATTGACAATTACTTTTTGTTTTTATCAGTTTAATTTTATGTCATTTTTATAGCTATATATATATATTATATATGTATTGAATGATGGTTTTGTTACTATTGATTATATGATGTATATAATAGTTGCTTGATTTTTCAATGTTTGCCTTTACTGTATATGCATCGCAAACATATGTTTGTAAATATTGTATTTATTATTTATTTAAAAATTTTTATTTGTTTGGCGTTTAAATATGTTTAGCATTTAAAAAGCTTTATTTTTATAAATGTAATTTATAAATATTCATCAAGGTGCATTAAAATTTGAAAGCACTTACTTGTTGCTATATTATCCATTTGATTGCTAGTCATGATTTGCCGCCCACACACTTTTGTCTATCCAGGTATATGTATGTCACTATAGATTTGCAGGTTTATACATAGTATAGTATAGTTTATTATCAGTTATACTTTGTATTATGCAAAGTAATATAATGCGACAAATTTATTCAATGTAATAAAACAATTATTATTATTTTTTATGTTTTTTTATTAATAATTTTAATTGTATTAATAGAAAATAATAATTAAAATTTGCATTTATTATTAGCTGAGGGCTATTTACGTCTATACGGCCGAACTAATAGAGTGGCGGCGTTGACCAAAATGTCTGAATTGCAGCACTCTATAGATGGCTGGGAAGGCAAAGATATCGGTCAGTTTTGCAATGAGTTTGTAATGGACGGGCCGTTATGTAAACTGTCTGATATGACGTCCCGATCTCCTCGTATTAGCGAACGCTATGTTTTTCTATTTGATGGTCTAATGGTTTTATGTAAACCAAATAATAAGAGGTCGTCGATGACAACCGTTACGGGAAACACTCAATACGATTGGCGGCTAAAAGAAAAATACTTAATTAAAAACATTGAAATTATCGACAGAGAAGAGCATTATAATTATAGTGAGATTAACGGATTATATAATAACAGTGGAGGAGGAGGTAGTGGTGGTGTAAACGGTACACATAATATACCAAAATATGTTTTCGAAATAGCACCTAGGTAAATTTTTTAAAAGCTAATTATATATATTTGTATTAAAAAAATTATGCCAATTCTAGAAATCAACAAAAAATAATATTGTTTGCAAAAACTGCTGAAGAAAAGGCACTCTGGATGTCAAACCTTATATTATTGAACACCCGGTCAATGCTCGAGAGGACATTGGACTCAATGCTTATCGATGAGGCAAAGAAACATCCGCTACGATTGCCTTCACCTGATGTCTACCGGTTCTCTGTAGAGGACTCGGACTCTAATATTATATTTGAAGAAAATAAATCTAATTCTGGTGTTCCTCTAATTAAAGGTTTGTCATATATTTTGCAATTTTTAATAAATTATTTATAATAAATGTTTAAAAATATGGTTAAAAAATTATTTATTTATGATTGTTAGCTATATGTTTTTAATAAAATAGTAGATTATTGTACTGGTAATTTATTGTATTGATTTTTTTTAGTTAGACCTTTGATATTTTGGTTTGACTTTAAAATATTACATTTAAAAGATTTATAGCATTTATTCTTGTAATTACATTATATAATAATTAGATTAAAAATTAAGTTTATTATAAGACTATAATAAATTTTTCCTAATAATTTACATACGTATATAAATAAGTACAGTACTATAAATAATAGTCAATTATATTAAGTATTGATTTTTATTGTTAATTTTAGTGAATCTATTACAGTATATGAATATTTATTATGTTTTCCCCTAACCGTCTATTTATTTTGTATTTATACATAAGCTATGAATAAGTTATTGATTAATATCAAAGAAATGTCTATTTTTATCATTATATATATAGATATATATTGATTATAACATTTATTTTTTGTAAGTCTTCTCTCTGCATGTTTAAGTCAGAAAACAACATTTATTAAAAAACTTTTTTTTTAAATAACAATATTTCTTAGGCTATTATTATAATATTGTAGTACATGTTATAAATTGTATTTACTATCGTATACTTGTATATACATAGTATATTGTTCATTATTTATATATATATATATATATATATATATATATATATTGTTCAAACTACAGGTGCAACACTACTAAAATTAGTTGAAAGACTAACTTATCACACATACGCCGACCCGATGTTTGTCCGCACATTTCTCACTACATATCGCTCTTTCTGTACGCCTCAGGCATTGTTATCCCTACTGATTGAGCGCTTTGAGATACCAGAGCCAGAGTTCAATCCAATACAGATTAACAATACTACACAACAAGAAAACAATACCATAACTACAATACCCGTAAACTCTTGTGAAACAATTAATAATATTAAAAATAACAACAATGACACACAATTTAACAATGCAAACAGTACTCTCTGTTTAAACAATGATAGCTCCCATTCCCATCACATCTATGAAAACTCTGAGATTCGTAATCAGCACCGGGAGGTACTCAAGCGTTTTCGTAAAGAATACTCACAACCGGTCCAGTTTCGAGTGCTTAATGTATTGAGACATTGGATTGATAATCATTATTATGACTTCGAAAGAGATCCCAATTTGTTGGAAATATTGAAAAAATTTTTGGATGAAAAAGTCAAATCAAAGAAAAATATGAGAAAATGGTGCGAAAATATTATGAAAGTATTGGATCGTAAAACAGAGATCACAGATGAACATCACATTACTCACAGTTTTGAAATGATTCCCCCAAATATCGAGTGGTGGCTAACCCGAGACACACAAAAGTTTGATTTGCTTACTGTATGTCTTTTTATTATAATTCATATGACATTTGGTGGTAATTATTTTGTTATTATTTTTTATTACATATAGCTTCACCCAATAGAGTTGGCCCGACAGCTAACTCTACTTGAGTTTGATCTCTACAGAGCAGTCAAACCGTCCGAATTAGTTGGAACTGAAGGCCAGTCAGTGGTGTGGACTAAGAAAGACAAGCAAAAGACATCACCAAATTTGTTGAAAATGATTCACCACACATCCAATGTATGAATTATTAAATCAATTTTTTTTTTAAAATAATAACTCTAATTGTATTTATAGTTTACATTTTGGTTGGAGAAGTGTATTGTAGAAGCGGTCAACTTTGAAGAAAGAGTAGCCATACTGTCCCGTATTATTGAGATAATGATAGTCCTACAGGAGTTGAATAACTTTAACGGTGTTTTCGAAGTGATCAGTGCTATGGGAAGCGCTTGTGTTCATCGATTGGATCACACCATGAGTTACATCGAAAAGAATTCTAAACTCAAGAGAGCTCTGGACGACGCACAGGAACTGACTGTTGAACACTTCAAAAAGTATGTCTTTTATATAATAATATTAATTTTAATACATTTTACAAAATGTTAGCAATTTTTTTAAAAATTAATTAAAGTTGGAAAAGTTTGCCAAAAAAAGATATATACCATTAGCTAATTAATTAAGTTTAAGCTATAAATTATTTGAAATGTTAGTTAGTATTAATTAGCAAATTTTATTTTAGATTTTTTGAAAATTTTAATCTATACAACACTGGTTAGAAAAAATAATTATTTATAATTTGTTTTTTAACAACAATGAGGTATCACGAAAAACTGCGGTCAATAAACCCTCCGTGTGTGCCATTCTTTGGCATGTATTTGACAAATATATTGCACATCGAAGAAGGAAATCCAGAGTTTTTGGCGACACCTCAGCCATCATTCAATCACTACGACTCTCAGCTAACGCTTACATCGATATCATCGACAGTTAGCGCTCAGACAACAAACACGTCTTTAATGTCGTTAAGTTCGGGCCACAGTTGCCACTCAACGGCCACTTTGCCGTCAAACGCCAATTTAGGTGGTGGTGGCGGTGGTGGCGGCGGATCCATCAGCAGTGGTGTGAGCAGCAACTGTTCGCCCACTGGATCGATGGCCAATACACCCAATCCAAACAATATGCTAATAAATTTTAGTAAACGTAGGAAAGTGGCCGAAATAACTGGTGAAATACAACAGTACCAAAATCAACCGTATTGTCTAACAATTGTTCCCGAAATTAGGGTATAAAATAATTTAATCGTATAATCAATTATTATATTTCAAACTAAATCATTGGTTATATATTTATAAAATAACAGCAATTTTTAGAGTCATTGAATCCATTTAAAGGACAGGACGAGAAAGAGCTTATAGATTATCTGTATAACAAATCACTTGAGATTGAACCCCGACATACCCGACAACTAAACAAATTTGTGAGTATTTTATGTAAGAAATTAGTGTTTTATTTAATACAAATATTTGTGTTGCGTTTGACAGCCCCGACAATGGCCTGAAATATCACTTAAGTCACCCGGTATTAAACCTCGGGGTAATCGTAATCATCACTTACCAGCTCTTCAATCATTGGACTCTTTACTTAATTCACTGACGAGTTCACAAAATGAAGAGTCAATTACCGATGAAAGTCAAACCCATAGTCCAACTCCACCGCAAACGCCGCCGTATTCGGCAAATAGTTGCGGTACTGGTAGTGATAATTCCGTATTTGCGCCCGTATTCATAGGCCATGGTTCCACATACGGTGGGTCATCACTATCGACGTCAATTCAATCGACGCCTCCCAGATCCGGTTCGTGGTCTTCAATCTCATCATTACCACCCAACCCGTCAACGCCTCCACCACTTCCGCCGCGCATTAATCGCAGCCAAAGAACAAATTCCATGTCCTATTCGTCGGACTTGTCCTCTCCTTACAGTCGATTTGAACCAATAATAGAGCCAATTGGCAACACGTTTGACGATTTAGTACCGCCGCCGCTCCCGCCGCGTTCCTCTACTTTCTCAACGACTTTATCACGCAATTGTTATTCGGGCGCAACGGCCACCATATTGACGGCCAATCAAAATATAGAGGGCTTTAACTCAGAGATCATTCGCCGCAATTCAGTCATGGATTTGCCACCAACTGAACCGTTGTCTCTATCGCGAAGGTTCTCGCAAAGTGGTCATTCCGGACCTACCAGACCCCTACCTATATCTATATCCCCAAATAGCGACAGCGTTTTTTCAGTACCTATCGGGCCGTGTCCTCAATTACCGCCAAAAACATACCGCCAAACACTCGCTAACATTTACTAACTATTGAGAACTTATATACAACTCGTGTGAATAGTAATGTAATAACAGCTATTCATTGATTAATTTTTTAATTTACTATTATTGGTATTATTGTATAACACATTCATAATATTGTGTTATATTAATAATAAGTTACAAATATAAGTATATTTAAGTGTATTATTAATCTAATTGTGTATAATAATAATATTAATAATTATTATTACTATTATTGATAGATTTATTGTTAACGTAATACATTATGTTTTGTACAATTAATATATTATTTTTTAAAATACAAGTTTATGTAAAAAATATATCGATATTTGTATTATAATTCTATGACTGAGTTGAATGATATCTTGTTCTTGAAAGTTAATGACCAAAAAAAATCTTTTTATTAATTTACTATAAATGTTGTCTAAAAAAATTAAGTGTGACTTCAATAACAAAACAACTAAAATTTTCTGTATATCTAATTAACTGAAATTATGAGACTTAAAATTATTTATGAAAGGTTAACAAAAATATTTTGAAATTTTATAAATTTTATGTAGAAAAAATTATATACAAAAATAATGTTATTATTGCTATTATGACATACAAATTTTAATATTAATGCTAAAATGTTTTTACATATAAAAGTTGTAAAGTTTATTGAAGAAAAATAAACATTAATATATTCATAAAATGTTTAGTTTTTTTTATTATTTATCTTATTTTTAATAATTTCATAATAATCTGTTTTTTAATTTTTCTTCACTAACCGGTTGACTATTGTTTTGGTCTTAAATGTTTAATTTTTTTTATCAATATTGTACTGTATATTCACTACAGAACTGTATACTACTGTACTATACATTATAGTATAATTTAATAATCTATTAAAATTTATAATATTACTGGTTATGAAATTTTTTTATTTCTATTATAATTGTTATTTATAATCTATATATATAGTGAACGGCAATAATTGTTAAAATGATAATTTTTTTTGATTAAATAACAGTTATAGCTAAATAAAAAATTATTTAATTTCTACTAGTTTATATTTATGTTTTAATCTTTATAAGTTTTAATTATAATTTATAATGCCGATCACTGTATAAACAGTGTTATAATTTATAATACAATGTAATTTATGTGTAATGCATTTTAAAATTTAATATTTGTAAAAAATAAATGTATGCTTAAATTGATATTTTATTAACAAAATTAACGAAATCGGACAAAATTATTAGAAAAAAGGACACATATATCACCTGCCATTATATATTTATATGAAAATACAAAAATAATATATTATTATAATTAAACTGATTTGATTAATTGAAATCTTGGAAAAAAAGTCAAAAACAATATTAGTATTAGTAATTAATGATTAAATAAAAAAATCCAATATTATATCAAAACAAAACAAACTTATAATATTAGAAATAAACAAAAATAACATTATTTGAAAAGTTTATGATCACTGATCACTATATCTCATGACTATAATTATATTACACAAAAAAGAAAGAATTGATATAAAAAAATAATGAAAATTTCTAACATTTAAACAATATTTATATATTAAGTAATATCAATACAATCTATTGATACTATTAATGATTTAATATGAAAAATATAATATTAAGAGTAAGAAAAATAAGCAGAAATTAAATCCCAAAAACCAGAGCCAAAGGTCTTAAATCCATAAAATACCAAAAAATATGAAAACATATATCATATGTGAATCCAAAATCCGTTTAAATAGTTAAACGATTTCTTGTGCCAATCGTTTGATTGAAACAATACCTCCAGAATCCGATTGACTGTCCGCTCGCTTTCTGACCAGTCGTTTACCGAATTTGTTTCGGCGGTGCTGTAGTTTGTCGGCCTTTCTCTGCGAACACTGGGCAGAGGTCGTCCAGAACGAGTCCTCTTCATTGCCGGTCAATACCTGTGCGCTCACCTCTTGTCCATTAAATATCAGGTTATGAACGGTCGACTCGTCGACGACTTGAGTCGAGCAATCAATTATAGCCAATACATTGTCGGCTTCGCAATCAAATCTTATCAAATAGTGACCATCAGGACGGCGGCCAACATAGCGTACGGGTGCGTAGTTGGCGAAGAACTGACGCACATTATTGTTGGTCACACTTCGCCTCAAACCCGTTACTTTCAGTACAGCTCTCTTAACCTTTAGATCACTCACTCGGTTTGATTGACCATTGATAGTGAGCTTAGCGGTGCCGACACAACACTTGTCCATCATTTTGTCGGTCGACTGCCGCCCGACTGTACTATCGGTCATCACTTTGTCGGACAAACGCATCGACGACTGACTGACTCAACGTTTGTATGAATCGTATGACTTCTCCTCCAATGACTTGCAATTGAATGTATCGTCCGATTAGTCATCAAATAGTCATACGATTGCTATTTCATCGTATATTACGTGACGAACCAAATATCCGATACTTAATACCCGTATATTATTTGATTGATACAAATATGATGACCAAATTGATTCATATTTAACACTATATTTCTATATTTTATTGAAATTATAATTTTATGTTTAATAAAGTATATATATATATATATATTGTAAATTGTCTAGATTTTATGTTTAGCATGGTTACTTTATTTTAAACATTTTTATTTTCTAAATTATTTTTTTTATAAAAAACTTTAGAAAGTACTGGTATTTAATTTACTATATATGAGCATGCTAAATTCAACTAACCTTATATAGGTTAATAATAAAAATATTACAAAATGTTAAATTTTTATGTTCAATATATTTATCTACTATAATATGCAATAATTTTATGTATGACTCACACATAAATTGCTATATAAGTTAAATTTATATATAATTCTATTAAACAGTTATAATATAACCGATAACTTTGACTTTATAACATTTATAATATAGGACATATATTTTAGGTAGTTTAAAAAAATAAATTTTTTATTAATTAATCATTATTCATAAGTTATTGCATTTTAAGTTTTACTAATGATTTGTTTTACTGTAGTCTATTATTTTGATTAAAATTTTATCTTAAGATTTTATATAAATATTGATTTTCAAATGCAATACCGTTATTAATACCTATACTATAACACAAAAATTAGGTTAAACCTCATATGTATAGGAAATTTGAGGAATTAAGGTATAAACATGTATTAAAATATAAAATTGAAATTTGTTTTTGAATAGATATCTGTTAATTGTCACGATTTTGAATAAAACACAATTAAAGCAAACAATATGAATCATATGATATATTTATTTTATTTGAGTATATAATTTATAACACTATTGAATAGCAAAAATATTCAAAATAATTTTAAATATACTATAAATAAATTTTAAAAATGCTTTTATTAAATATATTTATATTACAAATTATCATAATTAATGGTGTATTAAGTGTGTGTCCAAGTGATGAATTGGTGACCCCCTGTCAGTGCAAAGAGGATATAATCCAATGCACGTCAAACACATTCATTGATTTATCGAAAGTTTTTCGAAAACTTCGCTACAATTTACCCGAAAATCAGAAACATTTTCGGAAATTTCTATTAAACAGTTCGGCTATTAATGTGTTGAAAGAAAACACTTTCAAAGATATAACATTTGATGAGATAATTATAAGAAACTGTCCGAACCTGACATCTATCCATCGAAACGCCTTTACAGCCACCAGTTTGCGGACAAAACGATTAGAAATTTGTGATAATCGGCGATTAAGTTCACCGGATAATTCAATATTTGATACAATTAACAAATTCATTCAACTGGAAGTACTGCTTCTGCAAAACAATAACATCCGACAGATACCGGAGCGCGCATTCCGGCCAATAATCGGATATCAGGATAATCTAACCGATATTATCATATCGGGTCAGGCGTTCGGCAAAATCGGTAATCATGCGTTTGCTGGACTCAATCATTTGCAACATTTGTTTATCATTGACACATCCATTTGTTACATACCTGAGCGAACCTTTAGATTTGAGAGGACATCCAATAAAACCTTATATTTGCGGCTTTTTATGAATCCGATGCTTCAGAGTTCTGGCTTTACAGTCAACTCGTTGTCCAATTTTGGTCGACCCGTTTATCTGGACTTCAGTTTTACGGCGACACCTAATCAGATCACATATCTCGAAGAAGAGATATTTTTGCCATTTTTATTATCAAATGCCGAAAATATTGTTGAACTAAAAGACGAACTCTTTGATTGTGATAATTGTTTTAATTATTGGATTAAACGATATCCACATCTTTTGAAACAATTATTAAACCTCAAGTGCTCTAATGGACGACATTTTTTAGATAAAATAAATTTTATAAATTGTGAAAATTTTTAAAGTGTAACTATAACTCTAAATTAATATATTCAGTTTAATTTTATTAGATTTAATTTATTACATAATCTATTAATTACAATTTATACATCATTATAACTTATAAGTGTCAATGTTCTCAATAAATTAAATTGATAAAATAAATTTAAAAAATTAAAATACTATTTAATTTAATTTTACAAAAATATCTTTAAAATTTTAAATAATTATAATATTGACTTTAGACTTATCTCTATTATTAATATTTATATTATAATCGCCTATTAATCTAAAATACAATGCCTGTAAAACACAAATGAATAAATAATGACCTAATTAAATGGTCAATATTTTTCATTAATATCAAATATAGTTAAAGTTATAAAGTATTTTTGACTAATTTAAAAAAAAGTATTTTTAGTAAATATAACTTTTTCCAAAATATTCAATAGTCTTAACAAAATTTAAGCAATTTTAACAGTTTTATGCTAATTAACAACACATACAGTTAGTATTGCTTATATATAGCCTATCCTTTGTTTATATAGCCTTTGAACTTCTCAAATGGTTAACTGAAAACACATTTTCAGTGATAACAACCTTCAGTTTGAATTTCAAACTTTCAAATAACTTGTTTTTGAACGACATTTACTGTACTTGAAATAGTTTTG